AACCCGAGTGCTTTGAGTCGAGCAGCTAGGCCAGGGGAGGTTCTGAGGACTGTGGCTGTGGGTGTGGCAGCGGTCGCGGGAGTGGATGGCGGTGGGTTTTGCTGGCGATGCTTGGGCGGTGCTAGACGGGACGAAGCTAGGTTAAATGCGTCACTAATAAGGGTGGAGGGCGCAGAAGGGGGTGATGGGTGTGCCGTCGATATGGTTGTTGTTGACGTTGTCGAGGAGGACGAGGAGGTCGAGGTCGTCGATGAGGAGGCTGGTACAGCGAAGGGGAGGTGAGAGAGCTCACTGGCAACATCAGAGAAATTCAAGAAATTGGCTGGTCCATCATGCGTGTCTTCTGTCGGCGACTGGGATTGGGCCTGATAACGCGGGAGCGGGTGGAGGAGGTGTCCGGTTACTGGTGGTGAGAAGTGGAGCGACACGCTGGCAGCTGCAGTAGCGTTTGAGTGCAGGGCACCAGAGGGATCAGCAGAGGCTGTACGAGCAGAGGCAGCACCGGCACCAGCCTCGGTGCTAGCGGTGGTGGTGCTGGGGACGAAGCCGCTGTCAGTGGTGTCAGGTGCCCTGTCCCAGCGCTGCGGCAGCGCAACGGAGGCCATTGCGAGCTGCTCGAGGATAGGGGACAAGAGGGAGGGTGGGCGGGCCAGACCCCAGCAGAGGCTGGCAGCGTCCTTGGAGGGAGCTGGTTGGTGTTTCAAGCAAATAGACCCCCTCCAAAAACCGGGTCGGAAATGACCAAGGACTTGCGAAGGAGTCGACGGCGAGCGGGAGCGGAAAAAGAGTCGCTGCGAAGATGGCCGAGGAGAGAAGGTGAGCAAGTGAAGTACGCACGGCGGAGGAGAGAGGTGCACACTCGAGGAGGACGCTGGAGGGTAAGAAAGATAAAGGGAAGAGAAAAGATGGAGGCAGGGAGGATAAGTGTATGCGTGTGTGTGTCTGGACCAAGCCACCGGCTGAAGGAAGAAGCAATGCGCGCGACGTCAATCGGCGTTATAGACTTGCAGCGAAGTTTATGCGTCGTTACTCCCGCCAAAAACCAATCTGACAGCCAGCCAGGATACCAAGAAGGCGCCGCGAGAGATCAACAAGCCAGGCTGTCTGGGTCGGCTGCTCCTGTTCGACTGATAAACGCCAGGCTGTTTATGCGACCGGGTTGCCAAGTTCCAAAAATGCAATACTGCTCCACTGGATCGACAGAGTGAAGTGTGGCAAATCCAACAATAGTAAAAGTAACCCAAGAAAATAGAAAGAAAATGGGTAGGCTGACAGCCCGATGGCCAGCCAGCTCTTGGGTGGTAGTAGGGGAGGGCCGAAAGTAGTCGATTAGGCCACTACATCACGAAGACTGACACGGGAAGGGCGGCTCGTTGCGTGGTGAATAGTCTGCCGCTGGGAATAGAGCAAGAGATGTCGAGAAGCAGAGGAGTAGAAACGATGATGAGAGAATGATTATGAGGCGGAAGACATGAATAGAAAAGAAAAGTAGCGTAAGTGAGAGTGAGTAAGTGAGTGTGGCGGAGGATTTTGAGACATGCGTGGATGGAGCCCAAGGGGATTGAGTTTCAGTATATCAGTCGACGGTCAGGTTTCATATCAGCGGGAAGCAACGTGAACAGAGACTAGTCTTGAACACCTTCCGGCAGACAAAAACCTGAACGACACACACGCGCACGAGGCCCGGAAGGTTGGGTATTAATTTTTCAGTATTAGAGAACCAGAGGAGGCGACGAGGTTGGCGCGGGCGAATAGTTCTAATAGATTGGGTAGGTACCACCCACACCCTCTCCAACTGTGTCGTACAGCGAATGATTGATTGGTGCCACCACTCCACGCTGTCGCCATCCACCGATCAACCCGGTCCGTCTTTGATTTGCCTGCGCCTAGCCGATGGGGAGCAGCGAGAAATGAGGAGCAATTAAGAAGCTCTCGCCAACGAAATTGACCAGGTTAGTACTCGTCGACTTACAATGTTGGGTGGGGACAAGCTAGTACTCCTTCCCAAGCAACTGGCACCTACCGCGTAGCGTGGCTCTGGTGGTAGCGGCCATCTTTTAGCGCTAAATGACTGAAATAACCCCCGGAACCGGGAAATCACAAAGATACCTACATCCAGGACACTGTTCCTTTGACCCTATCGGCGGAACCTCTGGTTGCCTTGTGAAGCCAGCAGGGGCTCGCAGGCTGGGTGGCTGGCGTACGGACCGGAGATTCATGCTACGTTGTGCTGGAGGCAGGGAGCATGGATGTGCTCTGCAGTCATGTTGCTCTTCTCTCCACGCACACGCGAATGTTCTACGACTCCAGCTTGCCCCATTAGGCAATTCAAGAGGGACGTGCGTCTTGTTTCTGTCGCGTTTTCCTTGCGAGTCGCGCTGGTCATCTCATCATGCATCCGAGGCAGGAAAACAACCACATCCCCCTCTTCTCTCCCCTCGCTCGCCCTCCCCCTCCTTGGCACCCACCATCATCTCACTTTAATCAGGCTTGCTCAGCTTGCAACTTCTTGGTAGCGCTGGTGCACTGTGTAATTACGGATACCCACCGGTCGAGTCACAAGGGTCTTGTGTAGCTCCACTTTCCAACGGGAGGGACCCCCTTTCTCACAGTAGCAATTAGAATCATATGCCTGCTAATTAGATGGCGAAGGGTACCGGGGAAGTAATAAGATATGATCGTATCTGAGACCTTGGCCAGGTGTTAACAGTGCTAGTCGGAGGGCCGTGTTCTAGAAGAGTTGCCTGCCGTGGTTGCTGCCGGTGCCACGGAGCTCGTTGCTGCCGAACTGCTCGGCATCGCCCGGTCTCCCAGCCCTCTTGATGTCCAGCAATTAAGAGTGCATCGTGCGCGCGCATCATCTGAATCTTGCCTGGTTCGCTGCCGCTTTGACAACATGATTTGCGTTTAGCTGGCCGGGGTTTGGCGGATCAGGTAAGGGAGCTAACAACTGTAGCCCCCAAGGCCCCTGGTCTCCTCTCTTCCCTTGCTTTTTCTGTTCTTTTTCCTCGGGACTTCTTTTCTTTTTCTGCCCTCCGTCATTGCCTCCACAGCCGGCAGCACTGGCCTGGCGCCTTCCGAGTCGCCCGGGTCATGGAGAGTGACCCCAGTCCCGTTGCTTGTCCGACGGACGAGGCTGAGCTCATGAACGGCTAGCTCATGGCCACCGCGGATCAATGAGCAATATTTAATTAGCCTCGTGGCGAGAGAAGGCCTTGTTGCCCCGGGGAAAGCAAGGCACGAGGAAAATGCCAGAAAATAAGTGAAAATTGGCGACTGCATAACTAGGGGCCGTTGATATCAGTAGTGCAATAATAATTTCTGTCAGCTGTTCAGGGCCACCAATTGTTGAATGCAGGAATAGAAATGCTTCCAGTGTCGTGGTGGGCCAGTGAGCCAATGCAGGATCTCCTATTGAAGGCCTTGAGAGGTATGTTGTCCTGCTATTGTGTTCGAAGTAGATATCTCGATCTCCTAGGCCTGGCACTGTCCATTTCTGTCTCGGAGATTGGATTGGTTGCTCGAAACATTGCAGCAAGGGTTGGGGTACTTGGGGTGCTCCAGCAGATGAGATATCTGCCAGCTCCAGGAATTCTATTCCATGAGTCAATGCTCTTCCGTTTCACTAGGCGAGGAGTCGAGAGGTTGCCCGGGTGAGAGCCGAACAGTGTAAGTGTATTGGTTTCGGGTCCGTCCACCCATCTCGGTGCGGAATCTGAACTCTTAGAGGGCATCACTGATCAGTGTCACCGCCTCTCTGCTCTGCCCAGCTTTAAGACATATGACTAGGTATGTCTAGATGCGCCCTGTGAGCCACTCCTTTGGTCTGCTATATTTAGCCTCGAGATGGATGGAGTGGTAGTTGTTCCCCGCAATACAACAGCTTACCAGCTAGATACAGCTCAGGTCCTTAATAGACAAGGAGGTAAAAAGGCATTTCATCATCGCCCAATGATGATTCCACCCATTTATTTTCATCCTGGGTGCCAGCCTTTTGCTGTAGATAGGCGGCGCAATTGTTTGACACCGTACATTCACAGACCTAAAGCTGGGGTGTTGTGTGATCCTGAGTGGGCTTTTGTTTTGTTTGATTTGGTTACCTGGTGCTACGGCTGGGAATTACAGTGAATAGGTGTGCTGAGGTACGCAAGTGGCGTGCTGCTGGTAGCGTCAACCTGGGACGAACAGTGGGCGTGCCGCCATCTCTGTAGGGCACGTAGGGCCTGTAGGTGCCTGCCTGGGCCACCATCGCGGGCGGCTCCTGTGCCAACCGACAGTCTGGCTACGCGTGTCTAGCGCATCGATCCCGTCCCTTCATTCTTGCCTACAGCGGCAGGCCAGCGGCTTATTCCTGAAAGGCTGTCACCGCCACTAGCAGAGGTATCCATCAGCATTGCACATCATCCAATGGATCCTCACGACTGAAAGCATTTACCCCAAACCCCTGGATGCTGCACGCACGCTGCATGCAGTCCAATCAACCCTGCGTAATCTGCCCTTTTCGCCTCTGTTTCGTGCTTGAGCAGCCAATCCACCCGCGCTCCCCCCACTGTCTTGCTTCACTCAGGAGTACTTCACTACGTCCTTCGTCTTTCCCGTTTGGGTGGGCTTGCCTTGTCTCGCCGTGTCTTGTTTGGTACCGTGTTTTCGATTGTTTACCCTCGTTTCCATCTTGGTTATAATCCCCGGAGATAAAAAACCAATCCCATGCACAAGCTCTCTAGATCCCATCCTGTTTCGTCGTCCGTTCCTCACCACCACGCCCAGCACCAGACTACAACCTCTTATACCCAGGCGCAGTATCGACGACGAAGGTTGTCCTATTGGATGCCAGACCCGGTGCGATTTAGAACCTAGGCTTGTTCGACCTTGATACTCGCGGGCTCCCCGTTGTCGTGCACAACCAATATAGCGGGGCTGTCGACATATATCACTCCACGAGAAGCACGAGACAACACCGCCGCGCGATCACCCGAGAGCGAAGACTCTAGTCCACCGCCATGGCTACCGATAATATCCCCAGGAGCGGTTCCCCTTCACCAGATACCTCCCCGACTCCTGCGATCGGAGCTTGCCCTGAGCTCTCACGATGTGTGTCCATGGCCTCGTCCGGCGTCTCCGATGTCACACCACGGCATCTGTCTATGGGTGACTTTGGTCCAGGCTCACGGATATCATCTGCAACCTATCCCTCGCGTGTTTCGAGACAGTCTTCGTTTGGCCATGATATCAGGAACCGCCGCAGGGGCTATATGCGGCCACATGCGACATCTTTTGCCGCCAGTGCCAAGTCACGCGAGAGTGTGATGAGCTTAGGGAGCATTGCTCACTTGCAATACTACTTTGCCCGTACCGGGCTGCTCGATGGGAAAGGAGGACAACTTGCGCGCAAGAGACAGAAGCAACCGGCAACGCTCGACCTGTCGGCACTGGAGTCGGCTGCGTCGAACCCGCAGCTTGCGGGAACCGATGCTGATTCCTCGTACGCCTCGATGGGCAGCAGCCCCGATCTGAACGCGCCCGCCGATATGTCGTTTGGTATGGACGAATCTATACAGTACGACATGGATGAAGCCTACGATGGGAGCTTTGGGGACTCGGACTTTGAGGCTGACGGCATGCTCCCGCCGACTGTCAGCACATACCACTACAAGGAGAAGGTTGTTCCGAAGCCGCCAACCATTGTGGAGCTCAAGGCCGATGTGCAAACCTCCTTGAGTGATGCAAAGAAGTTTTTGAAGGAAGTAAGTGACCGCAAGGCGGGCACCTTTCAGTCGGCACCCGACGCACCAGCGTACCCCAACATGCCAGACGAGAAGACCCAGCCGTGGTATGAACTCCAGGGAATGCAGGTCCTGGATGTCGTCACGCTCGCCATCCGGGCCGCGAAACTCTACTACACAGCCCACGAGCTGCCAGATCGACTGGATGCCATCAAATCAGAGAAGGAGATACGCACCGACCTCCTGGCGGTCATGGATGTGCTGAAGCAAATGGCCACCCGGAATTTCAAAGACGGATTGAAGGATGAAGAGGTCACCACCATTGATAATTGGATCGACAGTGTGTTTGACATACTAAAGCAGGAGCATGATATCGAGACCGCTGAGAACGCGGAGCGAGCCAGCTGGACTTGGTTGCAAGGCGACTGGACCGGGCGCGAACTTGAGCGTGAGCGAGCATTCCTCACATCCATGGACACTGAATCCGACCCTCTCCCAGAGTGGACCTCGATATCTGACGCCCAGGACCTTCCCACACCCTTTCTCCAGGCCATGCAGAACGGCGTGAGATTGATCAAATTGCACAATGCGATTGTGAAGAAATCTTGGCGGCGGTACGGCGCCATCCCAACCTTCCACACGGACACGCAGAAGCCGTATCGGTGTGCTGACAACCTCCGTTACTGGCTCAAAGCCGCAGAGCTTCGTTTCGAAATCAACATCTCCATGGATGTCATGGGTGTCGTGTGTAATAACGGCCCAGAGGCATGGCAAAGCTTTGAGCGTGCCATCCTCCAGTGGTGCCGACATGTCCGAGAGGAGATCACAAAAGAATTGCATTGATACCCCTTTTTTTCCTATACGAGAGCACGAAGAGGACAAACAACCCCCATTACAGCAGTTATGATTTTTATGCGGCATATGCGGAGTTTAATTTTTGCCTTCACTTCTTAAACCGACTTCCCTTCGGCTTTGGATACACATATTACTTTCTAACACCCTTCTTTTCTTTTGTTCTAGCTCGTTGCTTTTCCCGTCTTCTGTTTTAATCCTGGGCCTCCTGCCTGAGGTCGGAGAGTTTCCTTTTCTTCTCAGATACACCACGTTTCGGCTGCCCTTGTATCTATATATACTTATTTTACCAGGAAGGCAAAGCACAGAGCATATATAAATATGCACGTATATAGTTTTGCAAACGATCTACATATACCCACCCGACATCAACACAAGGAGCAGCAGCATTTTTCTTGTTCACTTTGGCTATTCATTTGTCCCGAAAGCATGACTCAATGAGAATCGGAGAAATTGTTAGATTAAAATACACTTAGTCAATCACATCACATTATCACACGGCAACGTTTGGAACAGATTTTGATTTCATAGACCGTATTCAATTTTTTTTCCCCTATGGTTTCTATCTAGATTTTTCGATTTTTTTGGGGTGTGTGTAAATTTTCTTGTATGACATGGGAGTCTTCAAACAGTAGAACAAATATCAAACGAACGCAGCGATCCAGTACACCTTTCTCCAGCCAGTCTCGTAAACTCGTATACACGGAAGGGAAAAGCGCCCTACCTCTATCCTTACTCAATGTCGACCTTGTGGATCTCGGTCCACTCCTTCTCGACCTTGGGGACGGTGACGACGAGGAGGCCGTCCTCCATCCTGGCGGAGATGCCCATGCCGTCGACGTCGCCGTCCTTCTCGCAGCCGGCGGGGGGCAGGGGGACGGTGCGCTCGAAGGCGCCGACGCGCCTCTCGGAGGAGGGGGAGAGGGTCTGGAGGAAGGCCTCGTCGCCCGGGCGGTAGACGACGCCGGCGATGGAGAGGGTGGAGGTGTCCGGGTCCCAGTTGACGCCGACGTCCTCCTTCTTGGCGCCGGGGAGGGCGGCGTGGAGGACGTAGGCGGCCGGGGTGTTGAAGATGTCGATGGGGGGGGAGAAGGTCTCGTCTTCTGGGCCGTCGTCGTCGTTGGCGGTGGTGGTGGCGTTGTTGTTGCCGGAGCGGGCGCCGCCTTGCTGCTGGGCGTCGCGGAAGTTTTGGACTTGCTCGCGCAGGTTCTCGACGAAGGGGTGGCTTCCCAGGTTGCTGAGGGTCTGGAACATGGCAGAGAAGTCGAAGGGAGGGGGTGGAGGGGGGTGGTGAGGGCCTCGGTAGGGAGGAGGTGGTGGTGGGGGGAAGGAGAAGCCGTGGGGAGGTCGCGAGAAGGGATGGTGGTGGTGAGGAGGAGGGCCTCGGTGTGGTCCTCCACGACCGCCGCGGTGACCACGGCCCCCTCGTCCTCCTCTGCCTCCTCGACCGCAAGGGCGAGCGCCGTGACGGCCCCATCGTGGGCCGGGACCAGACCGTTCATAGTCGTCAGAGTCCTCGGGGGCGACTTCCTCTGGATCGGGTGCAGCAGTGGCGCTGTCGTCGTCCATCACGGTATCAGGGGAGGGACGCTTCTCGTCATTGACGTCTCTTTGTGCCGCCCCGTCTTCAGTAGGGGTGGGGGGAGTCTGTTGTCGAGGCTCCCGGTGATCGTGGGGAGATCTGAAAGGGTGGTCACGGTCATGTTCGTGGTGACCCCAATGATCCCAGTGGCCGGGACGACCCCATTGGCCCCATTGCTCGAAGTCGGCACCGGGGCCGGCCCATGATTGATGGGGCCCGGGGTGGTGATGAGGGCCTCCGAACGGGAAGCCGGGTGGGAAGGGAGGCGGGTGACGGTCGACGCCTTCACCGTGAGATCTCTGGTTGGGGTCCAGGGACTGGAGGAAGTCCCAGAACTGCGAAAAGGGATGCCGCTGGTTGGCAGCCATGGTGGTAGGGAGTGGTGGTTACTGGTGAGGTATACTTGCCAATATCGGGAGATGAGAGAATGTAAGGATGAGAGATGAGCGTTGAGAGATGGATGGGTGGTGAAGGGGAACCTGGAAGAGGGAGGGGTGACGGGTATTTATTCACTGCACTCAGGCATCATCAAAGTACGTACGTATATCATGTCATTCATGGGTGGTGTGGTGCGGTAGCACTGGTGTAGTGGTGTACGGGCATCAGGCAATTCCGCCGCGTCAACATCCAGCCCCAAGGCAATGAGGTGCTGGCGACGACAACTCCGCAATCTAATCCGGGCTTGGGCGATCGTGCGAACCGTTGCCACCGGGCTATTGTGCCAGTCTGGTTCCTGGCGTCAAAGCCGATGGGCTCGTCGGGATTGTCAAATGACCGAGGGTGATGCTGCCTGGCCACCACACCAATGGCCTGCCTCGGGGGTTGGAGGCACCGAGCTAGAAACACTGTGATTGGAGAGGTCGTTAATCAATCAGTAGCATAGGAAAATGGAAGTGCGAATCCGCCACGCGTTCAACGCCACACCCAGTCGCATCCACTTGTCCAACCTTGTCCACGGCATTCCAGCCCACCTTGTGTTACCGCAGATGGACCGGCTTGTCTTCAAGCTCGCGGATTCAGTCATTCAGAGCATTAGATCCACGATTCATGGTTCTACGGGAAATAAGGTGTGGCACATCATGGCATGGCGAATAACTAAAGGCACTATCAGTTACGTCAACGCTTGGCTGCCTGGGGCTGGCTCGGAATTTGCACTCGGACTCCGTTTTACAGGTTTGGCCCGCCGGCTCTGCCAACTTTTGGGAACTGGGCGGGGATGGTAAGAGTCATACTGCGTCCAGGCTGCCGCCGCCTTCTTCAAGCCGGCCATTCATGTTGATAGAATACTTTTTGATGGGCGCAGGTTCAGCGCATGATTGGGTTGGCTCATGGTTATGTATGACTGGTTGAGCTCGGCAGCTGGTTCCGGTACACGTATCGCCACGCGTCCGATTGCTACCTCGGTTTCGCCATCACTGCTGTCCACAAGAGTGAGTTGCAGTCGTCGCCCAAGGTATCGGCCGATAATTAGACGTCCGTATAATTGTGAAGGCCGTATCAGTCTTCAAGTCAACGGGTTAGTCTAGATCCAGCAGGCACTTTTACCACTGCCGCCCATAAAGACCCTCCTCCATGTGAATTCTACTTTCCAGCCCGGTTTCCAATAAAAGAGAGGACAATGATAAGATCTCTAAGACGCAAGGACCCGAATGGGATGTTCTTTCAAGCGCTCACACCGATATGTCAGGAAGCATCTGAGGAGCAAACACTGTACCGACACACCAAAACGCCGGGCGCTCAGCCTTTCGTGTAAGTCGCAAGCGGGCATCTCTTGTTTTCAATAGCACATAGGTAATAATAACCAATTAGCCCGATATATTGTTTATTTTACTGCGCCTTTTTCTGCTGTATGTGCATGTTTTGACATTGCCGGTACTATGCTTGCGGACCTTCCTACACTAACAAAGTTGATGCTGATGACTATTGACTGGCCCATCACCATGAGATTTACCAAGTGTACCATAAGAGATATAGATGAGCTCTGAAGATGAACGATTTGGGGTATTGTTTGGCCTCCTGTAGGGTGCCGGCCACAGCCCGGACAATTTGAGGAAGCGAGGCCCGGCAGTCCGGGAGATGCCCGGAGCCTGTCCCCGGCAGTTGCCCCACTCGGTCGGCACACAAAATTTCGGGTGCTGACAGGCGATGAGACACTGAAGCATCCAGAAAAATGGTCTGAATTCGTTCTCATTCTTCAGCTTGACTTGTTATCTTACTGTACTGGTAAGACGATACTTTGGTTACGAGAAGCCCTACAATGCGATATCTGATTTCTCAAATTGGCTACTTGGCTACGCATCATCTTCTTGTATGGTTTTTTTTTTCTTTTTTTTTTTTTTTTTTTTTTTTTTTTTTTTAGCGAGGCGCCCACTATCATTGTTTTTTTTTCTCGAACCTCTTGTAGCCCTGATATGCCTACCATATGCATCCCTCTGGTACATAGCCCATGTAGCTCTTTCTTAGATATTCAGATCGGGCGATAGTTGCAGGACTATCTGGTATCTCCAAGCATGTTCACATGCAATGCTACCTTGCCGCCTTTAGCCGCGCCAGATGGTGAGACACAGTGTGTAGCATCGCGTCGCGGTCCATGTCTGTACCTTACTTGCATGCATCCGAGCTACATTTACAGGGGCTGAGAGCTCAGGGTTCAATGTGCTACTGCTGTTGCTGTCATATTTCTCCAGCCTCTCTTCCCAACAATTCAAACCGCGCAGTAGAGCCGCCGTCAAACCCTTGCCGAAGGCTTGGTGCAGCCCGCCTTCACGTGCTGGGCCGGCTCCATCTCAACAGTTTGCAGAAACTGGCTTGACTAGGAGCCACCGCCTTTCTTTTAGAGGGGCAGATCGAGCTGACATCATCATCCTAGACATGCGAGCCGAATCCCCTGTGCCTAACACCGTTCTCTCCACACCCGCCCCGGGGGCGTTTGGTCGCAAGCAGAGGGGAATGCTACCGCGGGTTGGACTGCGGTAGGGCTGGACTGCGGAAGGGAGGTGAAAAGGGATCTTGAGCAAAACACAACGATGCTCGCAGCCATCGACTGCTGGCTCTGGTGTCTGAGCGAGGTCGGTGACCGGCGGCTGCATCTGGCTAGAAGCGACGGTGGGCCAGCTGCATGTAGGGCACCCACTTCAGGGGGCCCATCGTATTGGACGCCTGATGCTCGCCAGGGGGACTCTAAGAGAGAGCCTTTTGAGGCCTGTTGCCACGCCATTGACCAATAGACGGCTTCTAATTCCCTCCCAGCTACTATCCTGCACTAATATGATCAGCTAAAGTTGCCGGTGGTGGTGGGTGCGGGCGGCACGAGCACTAATGTACCTTAGGTCGTAGTCAAGGTGAGAAAAAAAAAAGTTTTTGGTGGTGCTGGTGTACCGATTCGGCCCCATTCCGCTGGGCCTCTACACTTTTTTTTTTTTCTTTTACACTTTTCCTCCTCCGCCTCTTCTCTCCCTCCTCTTTCATATCCAAACTGCTCGCGTGCTCTAGACAACTCTCTACTGTTGGTTGTCGCGGCAGATGATTGCGAAGTAGCCTCTGGATCTGTCCCAAGGGAGCACTCTGAGATACGAGTCCCTCACTTGCCAGACCGATTGAGCACCCCGCGCCTCTTCGTCATCAGAGAGCTTGTTGATCTGCCCCGCGTCGCCAGTCTCATCTACACCCGACTCTTCGTCCACTCTCCCCACGGACAAGCCTTTCTTCTCTCTCTCTACACGCAGGCAATAAATCAGCATGGCGGTTCAACTTGCCCCGCCGTCCTCGGCCCGTCTCGTCGAGGACGACGGTCTCGTTTGCCTCGAGCTCCAGGATGGCTCAACCTACCAGGGCTACAGCTTCGGCGCCCAGAAGAGCATTGCTGGAGAGCTGGTCTTCCAGACGGGCATGGTCGGCTACCCAGAGTCAGTCACAGATCCCTCCTACGAGGGTCAGATTCTCGTCATCACCTTCCCATTGGTCGGAAACTACGGTGTTCCCTCTCGCGAGATCCTTGACGAGCTGCTGGGCGACCTGCCAGCTCACTTCGAGTCCTCCCGGATCCACATTGCTGGTCTGGTCACAGCCTCGTATTGCGGCGAAGACTACTCTCATTTCCTTGCCGCCTCGTCGCTGGGCACATGGCTCAAGGAGCAGGGTATCCCCGCCATGTACGGCGTCGACACCCGAGCCCTCACAAAGAAGCTCAGAGAACAAGGTAGCATGCTTGGCAAGATCCGCCTCGCGAAGCAGAGCCTGACCAACGGTGCTGAGAACGGCCTTGTTCATGCTCACACCTCTCTCGATAGCTTCGAGCCCGTGGAGTGGAGCAACCCCAATGAAAGGAATCTTGTCGCTCACGGTAAGACCAAGATCCCAGGAACCCCAATTCAGCAGCTGGACGTACACTGACATCAATTGAAGTTTCCGTCAAGGAGCCTAAGCTATACAAGCCCTCGCCGTCCATTGCTCGCAAGCACCCCTCCGGCCGAACCATTCGGGTCTTGTGTGTCGATGTCGGAATGAAGTACAACCAGCTCAGATGCTTCCTCAAGCGCGGCGTCGAGGTCCTCGTGGTCCCCTGGGACCATGACATTGTGAAGGAGGCCGGCGACCAGTACGATGGTCTCTTCATCTCCAACGGTCCCGGCGACCCTTCCGTTGTCGACGCCACCGCCAAGAACATCGCGACAGCGATGGAGAAGAACAAGACCCCAGTGTTTGGTATTTGCTTGGGACACCAGCTCCTCGCCAGAGCTGCCGGAGCCAAGACGAAGAAGATGAAGTTCGGAAATCGAGGCCACAACATCCCTTGCACGAATATGGTCAATGGAAGATGTTACATCACCTCCCAGAATCATGGCTATCAAGTAGCTGCTTCCAGCCTGCCCCAGGGGTGGCAGGAGCTCTTCGTCAGTAAGTTCTCTTACTTATTCTATTCCCTACTTATTTAATTATCAGACCTACTAACTAGTCAAAGACGCCAACGATGGCAGCAACGAGGGTATCATGCACGTTGACAAGCCTTACTTCAGTGTGCAATTCCACCCCGAGAGCACACCCGGTCCCCGGGACACCGAATTCCTCTTCGACGTCTTCATCAACACCATCGCTCAGTGCGCCGAGGACCCTGCGCTCCTCCAAAAGCCAGTCAGCTTCCCTGGTGGCACCATTGAGGAGAACGAGCGCCTCCACCCCCGTGTCTCGGTCAAGAAGGTCCTTGTCCTGGGCAGTGGTGGCCTGAGCATCGGTCAGGCCGGCGAGTTCGATTACTCCGGCAGTCAAGCCATCAAGGCTCTAAAGGAGGAAGGCATCTACACGGTGCTCATCAACCCCAACATTGCCACCATCCAGACCTCCAAGGGTCTCGCCGACAAGGTGTACTTCCTCCCTGTCAACGCCGAGTTCGTCCGAAAGGTCATCAAGTACGAGCGCCCCGACGCCATCTATGTTACCTTTGGTGGTCAGACCGCTCTCCAGGTCGGTATCCAGCTCAAGGATGAGTTTGAGGAGCTCGGTGTCAAGGTTCTTGGTACCCCCATTGACACCATCATCACGACTGAGGATCGTGAGCTCTTTGCCCGAAGCATGGAGACGATTGGCGAGAAGTGTGCCAAGTCCGCCTCCGCCAACAACATCACAGAAGCCATGGAATGCGTCAAGGATATTGGTTTCCCTGTGATTGTCCGCGCTGCCTATGCTCTTGGTGGATTGGGCTCTGGTTTCGCCAACAATATGGACGAATTGAGCGAATTGTGCAACAAGGCATTCGCCGCAAGTCCCCAGGTCCTGATTGAGCGAAGTATGAAGGGCTGGAAGGAAATCGAGTACGAAGTCGTCCGTGACGCCCAAGACAACTGCATCACAGTCTGTAACATGGAAAACTTTGACCCCTTGGGTATTCACACCGGTGACTCCATTGTCGTCGCCCCCTCCCAGACTCTGTCTGATGAGGACTACAACATGCTCCGTACTACAGCAGTCAATGTTATCCGGCATCTGGGCGTCGTCGGTGAGTGCAACATTCAGTATGCGCTGAACCCCTTCTCGAGGGAGTACTGCATCATCGAGGTCAACGCTCGTCTCTCTCGATCTTCCGCCCTTGCCTCCAAGGCTACCGGCTACCCTCTGGCGTTCATCGCCGCCAAACTTGGTCTCGGTATCCCTCTGAAGGAGATCAAGAACGCCGTCACCAAGCAGACCTGCGCCTGCTTTGAGCCTTCTCTCGACTACGTCGTTGTCAAGATGCCCAGGTGGGATCTCAAGAAGTTCACCCGTGTGTCCACACAGCTCGGATCTTCCATGAAGAGTGTCGGTGAGGTCATGAGCATCGGTCGATCTTTCGAGGAAGCCATCCAGAAGGCGATCCGGTCTATTGATTTCCATAACATCGGATTCGGCGCGACCCCGGCCCTGATGAAGCTCGACGACGAGCTGCAGACTCCTTCTGATCAGCGTCTCTTTGCCATTGCAAACGCCATGCACGAGGGATACAGCGTCGACAAGATCTGGGAGATGACCAAGATCGACAAGTGGTTCCTCCGCAAGCTCAAGGGCCTGAGCGACTTTGCCAAGGACATGTCGAACTACAGCACCACGGACATTACTGGCTCCCCCCACCTTCTCTTGCAGGCCAAGAGACTTGGTTTCAGCGACCGACAGCTGGCCAACTTCTGGAGCTCCAACGAAATCGCGGTGCGAAGGCTCAGGCAAGAGGCGGGTATCCACCCCTTTGTCAAGCAGATTGATACCGTCGCTGCTGAATTCCCTGCCTACACCAATTACCTCTACCTTACATACAATGCATCCGAGCATGATCTTGACTTCGATGATCACGGAGTGGTGGTTCTTGGCTCCGGTGTGTATAGGATCGGTTCCTCTGTCGAGTTCGATTGGTGCTCCGTCAGAGCCATCCGCACTCTTCGTGAGTTGGGCTACAAGACGGTTATGATTAACGTAAGTTTATTGTCTATTCATTCTCATATTGTCTACTTATTTTTCATATCGTTTATTTTGGTTGTCCAAGTGGACAACCTAAACCCAATAATCTGGTTAATCTTTGTATTGCTTTGACCATGGCCATCTACCAGACTCATTACTACTGTGGGCTCAACAATTGGTCGACTTGGGTTCCATTGGCCCCCAATAAACCCAGTCTCATTTGTTAACCTGGAAGGCCACCATGATATCCATGCGGCATGACGGTTCCCATGTTATGCTACCTGACAATCACTCACACTCCATGCCTACCCAATCTCAGGTTGATTAACCAAGGAACCGCCTGTACTGCATCTGCTATGATCCATGGCAACGTGCTTCAACCCAAGTGGGTCAATCACGTGATGCATTCCCTAACTAGGAAATGCGCCCACACCGCAGTCCCACATCCGCCGCACGCTCCAGAACATCACCAACAGCCTCAGACACAGCCCAGACTCATTTTACACGTTTAAACATTGTTTTCTTGATGAACGTACAGCTGACATCCCCAAATTCGAACCCCGAAACGGTCTCATCTGATTATGATGAATCTGACCGTCTTTACTTCGAAACAATTGACTTGGAGACCGCCTTGGATATATACCAGGTCGAATCTGCAAAAGGTATCCTAGGAGCCATGTCTGGCCAATTGCCCAACAACATTGCACTCCCTCTGCACCGTGCCGGCGCCAAGGTGCTGGGAACATCCCCAGAGATGATTGACAGTGCGGAGAACAGATACAAGTTCTCCCGAATGCTGGACCGCATTGAGGTGGACCAGCCTACCTGGAAAGAGCTTACCAGCTTCGAGGAGGCCAAGAGCTTCTGCCAAAAGGTCACATACCCTGTTCTTGTGCGTCCCTCTTACGTCCTGTCGGGTGCCGCCATGAACACTGTGTACTCTGAGAAGGACTTGGAAAGCTACCTGGTTCAAGCTAGCGAGGTATCGAGAGAGCACCCAGTGGTAATCACAAAATACATCGAGAATGCCAAGGAGATTGAAATGGATGCTGTGGCCAAGGACGGAGAGGTTATCGGTCACTTTGTCTCTGAGCATGTTGAAAACGCTGGTGTCCACTCCGGTGATGCTACCCTCATCCTCCCTCCCCAGGATCTTGAGCGCACCACGATCAAGAGAATTGAGGAGGCAACTCGCAAGATTGGTGCCGCCCTCAACGTCACCGGACCCTTCAACATCCAGTTCATTGCCAAGGACAACGATATCAAGGTCATTGAGTGCAACGTCCGTGCCTCTCGCTCTTTCCCCTTTGTATCCAAGGTTATGGGAGTTGATTTGATTGAGTTGGCCACCAAGGCTATCATGAACGAGCCCTTCAAGGCCTACCCTCCCAGCGACCTGCCTGCCAACTGCGTCGGTGTAAAGGTGCCACAGTTCAGTTTCTCTCGCCTTTCAGGTGCTGATCCTGTTCTCGGCGTGGAGATGGCTTCCACCGGTGAGGTCGCGGCCTTCGGTGCTGACAAGTACGAAGCTTATTTGAAGGGGCTCATATCTACCGGCTTCAAGATTCCCAAGGCCAATATCCTCTTGTCCATTGGTTCCTACAAGGATAAGAAGGAGATGCTCCCCTCAGTCGAGAAGCTCCAGAAGATCGGATACAAGCTGTTCGCTACTGCTGGTACCGCCGATTTCCTGCAGGAGCACGGCATCCCGGTCCAGTATCTGGAAGTCCTTGGAAGCGACGAGGACCGAGAATCCGAGTTCTCGCTCACCCAGCACTTGTCGAAGAACACCATTGACTTGTACATCAACCTGCCATCGAACAACAAGTACCGTAGACCTGCCAGCTATATGAGTAAGGGCTATCAGACCCGTCGACTGGCTGTTGACTTTCAGATTCCTTTGGTCACCAATGTCAAAAACGCAAAAATCATGATAGAAGCCCTCGCGCGCCATTTTGACCTTAACGTCTCCCAGCGAGATTATAAAACGAGCCACCGCACCGTTGTCCTGCCTGGTTTGATCAACATTGCTGCCTTTGTTCCCGGTATCGTCACGCCTGGTAGCCAGGATATGGAAGCAGTCACGAGGGCATCTATTGCCTCGGGTTTCTCCATGATTCGGGTGATGCCTCTTGGCGTCGAGGGTTCCATCACTGACGCCCTCACCCTCAAGCTTGCGCAGCAGAACAGCCAGAAGGACAACTTCTGCGACTTCAACCTGTCAGTCTCAGCTACGTCTGACAATGATGGGCAGATCAGCACAGTCATTGGCGAGGTTGGATCCCTTTTCATCCCGTTCAACCACCTGTCCGGTAACATTAGCAAGGTGGCTGCTGTCACGGCTCACTTCGATGCCTGGCCCTCATACAAGCCCATTGTGACTGACGCCAAGCTGACCGATCTTGCATCTATCCTCCTCCTGGCCAGTCTTCACAGCCGCCGCATTCACGTCACATCTGTCACTACGAAGGATGATATCCGACTCATTGCTCTCAGCAAGGAGAAGGGCTTGCAAGTTACTTGCGATGTGTCCATCTACTCTCTGTACCTGTCACAAAACGACTTCCCTGGATGTGATCGCCTCCCAACTGCCGAGGATCAGGCAGCGCTTTGGGAGCACATGAGCACCATTGACGTCTTCTCCATTGGCAGCTTGCCATACCACCTCGCCAGGGTGAAGGGACACAAGGCCAACCCCTCCATGGGCATCTCGGAGGCCCTCCCCCTCCTCCTAACATCTGTCACGGAGGGCAAGCTCACCATTGATGACATCAAGCTGCGCCTGTACGAGAATCCCAAGGAGATCTTTGAGCTGCACGAGCAGGTCAACACCAGCATCGAGGTTGAGGTCGATCGATCCTACGAGGTTCCTCAGGGCTCCATCTGGTCTCCCTTCGCTGGGCGCAAGATGCGCGGATCGGTAAAGAGAGTCACGTTCCAAAACAACACGGTGTGCCTGGATGGTGAGCTGCTGCCAGTTCCCCCTCAGGGCAAGGACATGTCCTCCCACCTGCTGCCACCCACATCACCCCCAGCGAAGCCTACCGTTCCCTCGATCGGCCAGGTCGCGGAGAGCCCATACTCGAGGACCCGAAGAGAGTCCATCCTCACCCCCGTTCAGCCCCTCACCAAGCTGCGCGGCCTGGACGGCAGTGCGCTTTCCCCGTCCTCGCAGCTTGAAAGGGCCGGTGGAGCGCTGGAGGAGTCTCTGCTACCCCTCCAATTGCATCCCTCTACCCGCTCTTCGATCCAGGATCTGGTGTCGCGACCTTCTTCATTCAAGAATACACATGTGCTCTCTGTCAAGCAATACACCCGAGCGGATCTGCATTTGCTCTTCACCGTTGCCCAGGAGATGCGTCTGGGCGTTCAGCGGGAGGGAATCCTCGACGTCCTCAAGGGACGTCTCCTGTGCACCCTCTTCTACGAGCCTTCGACGAGAACCTCTGCCTCGTTCGATGCCGCCATGCAGCGCCTGGGAGGCCGCACAATCGCCATTTCCACCTCGCAATCCTCGGTGCAGAAGGGAGAGACTCTCCAGGATACTCTCCGCACCCTGGCCTGCTACGGTGACGGTGTGGTTCTGCGCCATCCCTCGGAGCAGTCTGTCGACATTGCACAGAAGTACAGCCCCGTCCCCGTCATCAACGGAGGAAACGGAAGCAAGGAGCACCCGACCCAGGCGTTCCTCGATCTGTTCACGATCCGTGAGGAATTTGGTACCGTCAAGGGGCTGACCATTACCTTCATCGGAGATCTTCTCTACGGACGCCCCGTGCACTCGCTCGTGTACCTGCTCCGCCACTACGAGGTGCAGGTGCAGCTCGTGGCCCCCAAGGCCCTGGCCCTCCCCGCCAACGTCAGGGAGCAGCTGATCGAGTCCGGCCAGCTGCTGGTCGAGTCCGAGACCCTGACCCCCGAGATCCTGGCCCGCAGCGACGTCCTCTACTGCACCCGCGTGCAGAAGGAGCGGTTCCCCAGCGTGGAGGAGTACGAGGCCGTCAAGAACTCGTACCGCGTCGACAACGCCGCGCTCAAGCACGCCAAGAGCTCCATGGTGGTCCTCCACCCCCTGCCCAGGAACGAGGAGGTGGCCGAGGAGGTGGACTTTGACCAGCGGGCAGCCTACTTCAGACAGGTAAGTGAAGGATTCTGTGAATGTCCAGCTACTAATTGCATCCCAACAAAGGCGCGGGTCGGCTAACGTGATTGCAGATGCGCTACGGTCTCTACTGCCGAATGGCCCTACTGGCACTTGTCATGCACGGATAGGCGAGCATAGAGACGGGCGGTATAGAAAAGTGTTCTTGTTTCCTTTCTTTTCGTTTGCGTTCTCTCTTTTCTCTTTTCTAGGCTACTTGGGCGATACTCGTTGGGCAATGCGTGGCTTTTCTTTTATAAAAAGGCTCAGGGTATCGACGATAAAAGCAAAACAAGTGATAGAATGGCATCTTTAACAAAAGGTAGTCCACATAACGTATTGGGATTCTCTGAGATGGGACGGGGGCGTTGGGCGTTGGGCGTTGCGTATCCCGTGGCGCATTGTGTGCGTTTGCGGTATTGCGTTGGCCTGCCTGCCTCGTCTGTGTGTATGTATGTGTTATGTATGCGTGCGTCCCGACGAGTGTCGTGTACGTTCCGTGTGTTTCACGTATATACCGTTTCGTTCGTCTGCGCCGTTTCATTGGCGTCGGCGTCGTGTGTCTCGGATCGGCGTTTTTGGGTTTGTTAGCGTGGGTTTAGATTGGTTTGGTTTTTTTTTGGCAAGGGTGGGAATCTGTTTCTATTTTGTATATATTGTATTCATTCAGGTTAGTTTCGTAGGTAGTTTATTTTAATAAACCGATTCGTAATTCCCGTACATTGATTTGCCATCGCCGTCTTTTGTGTCTGTATCTGTCTGTGTCTGTCTATGATGCATCCAGATGGACAGCCATAATCCCCGGTTTCGGTGATCGGATGATCGTCCGTAGATCGGGTCTGCTAATAACATACAATGATTCAAGACTTTCCAGCAAGTGCTGTCTCTCGTGAATATATAAAACGCATGTCGGGCGAGCACCTTCTCCCAGCACCGGTCCAAATACTCGGAAGCGGAAGTCAGTGAAGCAATTGATCTGTCACATTGCCCAGCCAGCCAGTACGTAACGGCAACCAAGGTGGAGTGAACGGCCGCAGTGGTGTGAAGAGGCGGCTCCAAACGCTGGAACAAACCCCAACTGTCCTGCCAGAAGCTCCCTCACCGACCCCGCTAGGGCTGAGGACCGACTGCGCCGAAGTGCTGCCCGTCCCCCATTCACGCCATCCCATCATACCACCGTCTCACCACCTGCCGGCTGCTGCTCCTCGTAGTCACTTCCAGAACAACTTGGGAGTCATATCGAGCTCTGGCGGTGTCGAGCTCACCTCAGACCAGCTTACATCTATATACTGGGCTCGGCCTGCTCTCTCCGCCCTCTCTCTCGTCTGGCTTCCCATAGACTAGACCCAAGACCATACATGTACAGACGAGGTCTATCGTTAAGAGCCACACTCAAGTCAGCAAGAATGGCGCTTCACTCAGCCCCAGACAAGCTCATATGTAAGTCCTCAACTCCTGCCCTGTACTACCCCTCCATCATCACCTCGATACAACACCACCTCCAACCCCCTCCTCCTCTCTCCCTCTCCCCTCCCCCCCCCCCCCAAACCACCACAGCCATAAACCTTTACACCCGTATAAAGAAAAAAGGGCAAAGCTAACCGACCCCCCTCTGGGGACTGCCCCCCCTACGTAGTCGCCCCCGCAGGTTCCCAAGCCCACGGCCAGGCAGAGCAGTTCACCCTCGGGAAGCTTCACCGCTCCGACCTCAACCCCACATCCCCAATCGCCCAGTTCAACACCTGGTTCTCCCAGGCCCAAAAGGCCAGCACCACCACCGAGGCGGCCAACCAGCAGCAGGCGCCCCTCGTCGCCCACCCAGAGGCCTGCACCCTCTCCACCGCCTCCCTCCCCTCCGGCCGCGTTACCTCCCGCGTCGTCTACCTCAAGGAGCTCGACGCCGACGGCGGCTTCGTCGTCTACTCCAACCTCTCCACCAGCCGCAAGGCCAGGGACCTCGAGACCAACCCCCACGCCGCCCTGCTCTTCTACTGGGAGGGCCTGCAGAGGCAGGTCCGCGTCGAGGGCGTCGCCACCAGGCTGTCCAGGGAGGAGAGCCAGGTCTACTTCGACACCCGCGTCCGTGGGAGCCGCATTGGCGCCTGGGCCAGCCGGCAGAGCCAGGTGCTCCAGCCTCAAGGCGGCGAGCCTGGTGCCGATGGCGAGGATGACGGCCGCTCCCAGCTCGAGGGCTGGGTCAAGGAGGTCGAGGACAAGTTCCAGGGCAAGGATGACATCCCTGTTCCCGACTTTTGGGGTGGTCTGAGGATCGTCCCTTCCGTTGTCGAGTTTTGGCAAGGTAGAGAGAGTCGCTTGCATGACAGGTTCGTTTATGAACGAGAAGAGGGGGTAGAGGATGCGCCGTGGACGCTGCAGAGGTTAAGTCCTTGAGGTCACAGCATGGGAGGGATACAGTTGTTTTTAGGTAGCGAATCCGGCTATACAGCCATTAGGAGTTATCATTCAAAAAATTAGATGGTAATATCTCCAAACGAATCCAAGTACCCGGCCGCCGCCGTCCCAAAAAACAAGGATATGTCCAACATACGCCAAAAACAAACTATCTAGGTATCAACCATTGTCGCTGTGTAAGCACTGTCCAGTAAATGCGGTGCAAACCCCAATTGAAGATGAGAATGTCCTGGGCCATCTAGGCCCCAAATGGATCCGTACATATAAAACAGAAATGTATGCGTTCCAGGTGTACATTAAAAGCAATCGTAGTTTCAAAACGGAGATGCCGAAAATTCAACGCCGTGCGTCATGCATAGAAAATGGAGTGGCCTCCAGGCTTGCACAATAAATGCCTCCCACGCTTGCCAAAGAAATCAAATGTGAAAATGAGAAGAAGAAAAAAATATTTGCCAGGTAGATCGCAATCCAATTCCTGGATGCCGGGAAGTCGGTCGAGGTGGTTCATGAAGCTGATGGACCGGTTGCAGCCACGGAAGAGCCCTTCAGGCCCATGGATAGCATTCCAAGGCCGACTGTAGCCATTGTCTTAGAACGGCTGTGAGACGGGACAAAGTCACCCTCCACACTGTGGGGGGTTAAACTCTCGGGGGGTGTGGGTTGCCGGGAATGCCAATCATGATGACGCCCAGCAAGCTGCATATCCACCATCGCATCTGTGATACACGACTCCTCGCATAGTGGCATGATTCTGTACTCTAGGCGCTCCATAATGCAGCGCTCCGTCACATTGAGCTGTTCGGCGGACCACATTCCACGGCCCCAATTGTCGCAGTAGTGGTGGGAGGAGTCCTGGTGATCCTGAGTGAACTTGGAGGCGATGACGAGCGCCGAGAGAACAATGAGCTCGGGGTTGACAGAGTCGATGTGCAGCTGCTTGGGGAACTGGCTGTGGACAAATGGCGAGGACGGCAGCGTGTGTCGCTTGGACGTCGGCGCAATGTAGCCAGAGAGGAGTGGGCAGGACAGGCGCCAGGTGCGGGCGAACCGAGCGTCGAGGCTGTCCAGAATGCAGACGGCGAGCGCCACGGTTTCGAGCGGTAGGTCGGCTCGGCTGAGCATGGCCTGCACCAGAGGAATCGAAGCGTTGGCCAGCGAGGCGGTGGAAGGGATTAAGTTCACGAGATGGACGGCCGGGCCTAATTAGCGTTTGGATCACGGTTAGCCAGCCGATCATTTTCGATCGTCATATCCGGGGTAACTGTTGGCCAAAACTTACCCCTATACTTGGCCTGCAGCTCCTCGCCATCGTCCAGCGTGGTTTTGGGAGACTGAGCAGCAGATGAGTTTCGTGAGCTTGGGGGCGGGGTTGGCAGGTTGGAGAGCGGACGGTAGGTGAAATAGCTATCTTCATCCCAGGTCTCGTCCTCCGCCCCGACGTACTTTTGGCCGTCTCGACGCATGGTAAAGTGTGTGTGTGCTCGCGTGTGTGGTTGATTGAATAGTCGTTCCTGGTGTGGTGTTGCGTGGTTGTTTGCAAGTCGAGGTTCAGTATTCGCAGATGGTTATGGTTGTCGGTCCAGGTCGCAGCAGAAGCCGTCTCTCATATTTGGGCGCCGAGAAAGGTCGATCTCTCTTCCCCTCGTTTTGACGCTCTCGATTTTCGTGGGAGTAATTGAGATCGCCGCAAGTGCAGTGTTGTGTGGGTGTGGAGCGGGTGGGAGGAGGTAAGCACGCGAGCAACTGCTGAATGTCGGGCTGATCGCTTGGCGCAGGCAAACAGGAAGCAGTAACAGGAGCTTAACGCGAGCAGAATGGAAAGTCGAATATAAACAAGCGGACAAGTGCCGGAGGACAAACAGCAAATAAATATAGACTACTTTCTACAGAGGGAGACTGGAAGGCCAGGAGCGAGAGATTGGCAAAGTGCGAACTGGACAATGACGGAGCGACTGATGATCGAATGCTGAAATGGAGGGAGGATAACGACGTCGATTTCAAGAAAGCTGGAGGGGGTGTTCCAGGGTCCCTGCCTTATATAGCAGATGCAACACTCCAACAAGGCACGGCAGCAAATGGAAGCCAGCAGGCAGGGCAAGTTCAGGCGAGTCTGGCCAAGGTCAAGCCAAGGTAAGATCGGTCAGGTACCTGAGTAGCGACTACCTGCCTGAGCTGGGGACCAGGTGGGTGGATCCGGGTAGTGGGTACGCACTGGAAGTCACGAGCAAGGTCACGTCAGGCCAAGCCAGCGGCGAGAAGCAACTTCGGAGCCCCGAGCGCACACGTACCTGGGTACAGCTCGGGTGGCTTGGTTCACGGCCACCACCCATGGAACACATCACCTCCCTCCTGTGCCGGTCGGTACCTTAGTACGTGCTACCCACCTTGTGTAAGGTACATGGACCTTACCTGGAAGGTAGGTTAGGTGGCAGGCTGGGTGGTCGGTAGGGTGGGTTTCCCCTATTCCAGTACTAAATAAGGCACCCTACGCATGTCTAGAGCGTCGCAGCACATACCTGCGCTCCGGCCCTACTGAGCATGATACAACCGCCCGTGCTCGAGTAGCGCGAGCTAGGCCCCAAGACCTGAACACGAGCAGCCAAGTGGAGCGGAGCGTTCAGGGAGCCGGGCGTGGTAATTAAGGCTGACTGGGACTGCCAGCGCCAATGGCTTGTGGCTGCTGGTCCAGCTCAGGCTTCCTGGGCCCTCCCTCTCTGCAGTCCTGAGCCGGCCAGCGACGAGCGGTGGAGAGAGCCAGTCGGGATCCACGGTGCCAAGACAAGGGGACTTGGGAATATGGAGCCCTGTAATTACTCGCGAGGTCGAGTACGAGTTTGTGAGCGCGGCAGCATGGCGTGCGGCGTGGCGGGCTGCTTGTCTCAGCCAAGACATGCACGCTCAGGGAGCAACCCTCCAAAAAAAGAGAAAAAAATGACAATGCTGCATCGTGCCTGGGGAAAAAGAAAGCAGCGTGCAAGACAAAGGAGCAACGACATGTGTTCCTTGCGGCCGGCAATAGTAGGATGTGTTGTAAGAGTCAGTCTTGCCTCTCAGCTGGCATGACGCTGCATTGGCATTGACCCAAGAAAGCAATAGTATCCCGACCTGTGCATGAAAACAAGGCTTTAGTGGATAGACCGGATAATATCCCATCCAATATATGACCTTGTGGCTTCCAGAAACGAGCCGCGGTTGTGAATATGAACGACACTCTGCATATGCATACAACGCCGTTATTCAATTCGCCAACTGTCGAGCTATCAATTACACATCCTACCAAAGTACATGGAACGCTGTATGCACGGGGCAGACGCGCTCGAATATTGCAACCCTCTTGATCGCCTCTTCGTATCGTGTACAGTGTGTTTTCTTCTTACCTGTTGTTCCGGTTGTTCTCTATGTGCATGGTTTTTGCTCCTCTCTCCCCTTCTCCTCGAGCCATCGGATTCGCCAGGATAATCGAGATACTTTTGATAAGCATGGGGCGCCCCAGCCACCCCAAGGTTTAGGATCTTGTCAGACATCTGCCATTAGGACTTTGACTAGGACTAGGGCCTTTGCGAGCTGATCATGACGCTGCGCATATTCTTGTGCTGTGGCTTGCCATAAGCCAACCCAAATTTGCCTTGTGTCATCGGCGCAATGCTGATGCTCACTCGCTCGCTCACGAGATGCCCGACAGGCTCGGACTCCCGCTGCACCGGATTCTCCCATCCAATGTGCCAACTGAGCCAGCTCACCGCCCATTCATTGTTTTCCCTTAGCCTGGGTAAATAGTCAGGCCAGGCCAGGTCGCGGCGGCGACGACGGCGGCAGCCGGCCGGGGAGGGTCAACCAACACCATGCTATGTACTACGGCTGCGCATGCACGTCAATGTCAGTCAAGAGTCGTTTTTTAATTGCGCCCTCACCAGGCTTGCCCGCTTTCAACCCCAGCTGAGGAACCATCACCACCACACCGAGCCACTAGGCAGATAGCCCCCTTCTATAGCCGTAGGTGCGCTGGCAGCCAGTGCCAGAGCACGTTTGGACCTTGTGTCTCGCCCGGCTGCCATCGCAATATCCCTCCTTCATGTACCAAGGTCCAAGTGCATGCGTGGCTCTCAATGTCCACCGGACCTGGCCCCAAACCAATGACCTGCGCCAAGGGACCGAACCCCCACCCATCGGGCTCGTCTTTGTGTAGCATTTCCCCTTTCTGAGGCTGAGTCCTGCTCTTAATTGGATGGCATGGGTTTGCTTGCCCGCTTTCCCGAACCCGACCTTTTTTTGTCCACAGGGGTATAATTCGCATTCCGCACAATAATGAGCGTCATCGCAATAATACGTCTCAATAATGGCTACTGGTGCAGCCAGACAATTGCCCGTGGCAAAAGAACCGTCCGTCCGCCTCGAAATACTCCGATACTAGCATCTCGACATACATAATAGGTAGCAGTCTAGAAGGGGAAGAAAGAAAATTTAAGCTGCAGTCTACCCAGCGTCCATTCCTCTCGCTTGGTGGCGTGGTATGCTACTGGTCTGGAACCCGGGATGGCTTTGACTGGCAGCCGAGATCTCTGGACTGCATCGCACCATTGGATATCCTGCTAGCGATGGCAACAGTGTTCGGCCGTGTACCCACCCTCCGTGAGTCTTGAAATCCAATTCTCACGTCGGTCGACCCGTTGGCAGAACAAAAAAAGCAAAATGGCTTCCTCCACTATGATGTACATATTTTCTCCCGTGCGGGCCCCCCACTCGCTTGGGAATTGGGTTCAGACATGTCTCAGGCTAATTAACTTCACTCGACCCGAGGCACCGGCAATTTCGAGATATTGAGCACTGAGCTTCAACCTTTCAGGGCCATTCTGGATGATCTAATATTAAGGCTTAGCATCTCATTGTCGCGGTCTTAGTGCACACACGGAGCCTGCGCTGAAAACTAAATACAATAACCAGCCCAAAGCGGCTTGAAGTCTATCGGCAAAAGCCACGCTATCGAAGCCAGCCGTTCGATCACTGCTATTTTCGTCAATCCAGAGCAATCCAATCCACGGCGGAAACCCACCGGGGCGGGTTGAGATTCCAGCCTTGCGTCTACCCACACAGCCTCAAGCTGATGTGTGAACTCTGTTATATATAAAATTTCGATGGGCTGTGTCCTGTCAGGGCAAGCTTATCAGCAGCCAGATGGGTTGATATAGGGTAGCCGGGATCGAATGCTCAGGAATGACGACATGCGCTAGTACCATCGGAGCACATATAGCCAAGGTCACACTCATGAAGATGCATTCTCGTGATCAAACTCGTGAAAGATCACCAGTGAGGTCAAACATACGAGAGGCATAAGATTGCTCAAATGCAGGAACATGTTGGATGTGCTGGAAGTCTCCAGGAACCCGTATATGCCGGGGCGATTGTGTGATTAATGACAGCTTATAAATCGAGAGCACATTACGGGCTATCGATAAGGATTTTTCCTGATCAGTGCAACGACCTCAGTTCCAACCCGATCGTTCCCGCTGTTGCGCCAGCTTCCAACATCGAACCGGATTGCCTCCAGCTGCTCTGATATCCGCGAATTGATTACCTGTAAAGACGACCGAGAAAAATGGATGCCAAGATTGCTGCTTCAGGCAAGTTTCTGCTGCCCCAAAACATGCGGCAGTCGTTCCCTCGAGCCCTTGCTGACCTTCGTTCCGTACAGATCTCGATGGCGCCTCATGCCCAGTGAAGACGAACACCATCGAGAAACCCAAGGTGCGTCGCTAACTGCATATACATCGCCCCAATCGGCCCACGTGTCCTCCCACAGCGAGTCCATATACCCGCGAGGATGCCGAAGCCGAACAGCCAGCACAATCCGTGCCAATCACCTGATATATCGGATCGTCGAAGCTTACATATACTCTCTCTAGCCATGCTGCGTCTGCAAGGAGGAAAAGTCGAAGCGGGACGAGTGCATGCTCTTCTCCAAGTCCGCCGACCCCGCCGCGGACTGCAGATCCTTGGTCGACCAATACAAGAGCTGCATGATTGGCTACGGATTCAAGGTATGATGAAGAGACCTGATCAGAGAGGTTCGGTCGAGCAAGAAAAATCATCAGCCGCCGCCTTGGCTGTGTAAAACAGGAAAATGTATACTATTCGATAGACCTCCGGGGGCGAACCTATGTACACCACTTATCTCGATTCAACTCGCTTCCCATTGCACATACCATGCCAGGTTTCTAATATTGCTCAATAAGGCCTCGGAATTACAAAAGAAATTAAGGCCCAGAGATCAGAAATCACAGGTTAACAAATTGCCACTCAGCCATGAAATCTTGGAAAACAGGCTCCTACGTTCATAACATCCACCCCTCCGAAATGGTCTTGAAACTGAACTCTACATCAAGTTGCAGATGAAGTCCCCGAAGCCTCCAGTTCTCTGCCCTCGTAGCCTGCCATAATTACATCTTCCACCTCTCTCACCTTTGCGTGTGTGTCGGCAATCAGTTCCACCATCTGTGCTTCAATTGCTTGTCGTCGCTCCAGGCTCTGGCAAATGTTGTTTACACACTGGCTCTTGAATTTGACCCTGAGTCTCGAATTAGCCTTTTCGAGTAAAAGAAAGCTAGAACTAATGAAAAGAGGTGAATATGCGATAATTCACATTAATACAGACGTACTTTTCCTGGAGCTGTTTAGCATGGACGGCCGCTGCTCGAGCCTTTATCTCCTTCAATGCGTTCTCGGCGTCTGTGATGACGGCGGCCATCTGCTGATCTCTCTCCTTTCTCAGCTTTGATCATAGTCAGCAATTAGAAAATCCCTTGGTCATTATTGCGCCCAATGAAGGAGGTAGAAGCAGCACTCCTACTTTTTGAATCTTCACCTGGGCTTGGAAGGCAACCCATTCCGTGTCACTCTCGCCGCCAGAGTAAGAAGCTGCCTGCAGCCGTTTTGCGGGCATGGTGTGGTAGTAACAAACTTCTTTTCTGCGAAGAAAGATATGTATCTTCGCTTCTTCGCTAGTTAGGGACACTCGGAAATAATTGAAAGGAGAAACACGGTGACTCTCTGATGCAAGATGACCACCAGTTGATGTTCGGAAATACTATAGATCGCTGTCGAAAGAACGAAAGTATAGAAATCCTGGCAGTGGTGATTTTGTACCTGGTGCGAGCTATGCTGCTTGTTCTATCTTATGACTCCGAGAAGGGCAGGCACGACCAACTACGCTCCTTCCTTATCCCCGCCACCTCGGAGGCAGGCAGATACCGCGTTTAGGGGCAAAAGATATCAGGACATCCGTAGAATTTATCATTTAACCTGATCATTAATGTGAGTCAGATCATTATTATCACTGAATTATAGCCTTTTGTTCATGTCGTGGTATTTATCATACAGATCAAGCATCCAGTCCAGTTTTGTTTTCTTCCTCGACCTCTACCTAGTCAACGCAATGTCGTCTATTCTCAGAATCATCTTGACGGTCTCAGCAGCAAGCTCAATGGCGCTTGTACTGACTAACAGGGGCTGGAGAACGTTCTCCTTGGAGATGTTGTTGTTGACTCCTCCAGATTTGATGCTCACTCCGGCGTTCTTCTCGCCCATCTCGTGCCTATGTCGGAGATCTGTGACGACCTTGATGCTATTCAGGCCGGCGTTCTCGGCCAGGGTGGTGGGAATAACTTCCATGGCATCGGCGAATGCCTTCCAGCAGATGGCCTCAGTGCCCGTCAGGCTGCGTGCTTGCTTTGCCAGCTGAGCAGCAATTTCAATCTCAGGGGCACCTCCACCAGCGATGAGCGCCTTCTTCTTGACTAGGCAGCGAATGACGCAAAGGGCGTCATGCAAACTGCGCTCTGCTTCCTCAAGAATCAGGCTGTTGGCACCGCGGACCACTACAGAAACGGTCTTTCCGGTAGCCTTTGCGCCGTGAATCTTGACCATGCGGGATCCACTGGATTGCACTTCCTCGACCAGGTCGGCGGATCCAAGCTTGTCCTCGGTGAAAGAGTCGATGTCGGCAATGGGCTTGCAGCCAGTGGACTTGCAAATGAACTCAACCTCCTCACGCTCGATATCCTTGATGGCCAAGATACCAAGCTTGGCCAAGAAATGGAGAGACAGCTCGTTGACGGCGTCTCTCAAAATCGACTTTTGGATCAATAATACATTGCACTTAGCCTTCTTGATCTTCTTGGCCATGTTGAGAAGATAAAGACGCTCTTCCTTGACGATCTTGTCCATCTGCCGGTAATCGTTGACCTGGACGGTGTTCTCCATCTGCAATGTACCTAGTCAGTAAACAATTCCCACCGTTCATTCGTTTTAACAGAACTTATACGCACGTCGGGCTTGGGAGGACTGAGCTGGAACTGGATCAGACCAATCTTGGCCTTCTCCATGCGGACGGGTCCATTCGCATTCTTCAGCACGGGCTGGGTGAGGACGAGGCCATCGTTCAGCTCACTGTCTTCGATGGTTCCTCCCACTTTCTTGATAATTCTAATGTTTCGTAGGTCCACATTATCTGCCGTCTTGATATCGATAGTCTTGGTGACAGAGTTCACGGCCATGGGGCCGAGGAGATTCGAGTACTGGGAGACGATCTTGGAAGATAACGAAGTGTTGGCGGCTTGAAGGAGGGAAGCCGTATCCGAGAGAGAGATGGGCTGGGACATTTCGTGTAGAACTTCGACGGCGGCAGCGGCAGCTCGCTGGAAGGAGTCTGAGATCACAGAGGGGTGGATACCCTTTGAGAGAAGTCGGTCGGCGGCTCCAAGGAGACTGCCACAGATAACGACAACGGACGTGGTTCCATCACCGGCCTCGACATCCTGGGCACCGGCAAGGTTGACAAGCATCTTTGCCGTGGGATGCAGGACAGACATGCTCTTCAGCATGGTGTGACCGTCGTTTGTGATTATGGTTTCTCCCTTTCCGCTTCGAATCATCTTGTCCATGCCTCTGGGGCCGAGGGACGTCCTGATGGCATCGGCGACAGCTATAATAGAGATACATGGTTAATTACATGTTATGAAATATAATCATTTGGAAAGCTGCTATACCTCTGGCAGCAACAATGTTGGAAGATCGCACGGCGGTGGGCTTCTCCTTATCCTGCTACCTGTTAGCGGGGCAGTTGGGAAGCTTCGCGAAGCTGTTCTGACCTTGAAAGTTGCGTTGCCGCCGCCGCCCGATGATACTTCCGCAGCCATCTTGAAAACTGTAAAGCAAATACCCAAAGCTTCAGGGAAGAACGGGTGGACGCAAAGGTAGGAAAGGGGATGAAGCTTGGAACGTTTTTCCTAGTCGACCCAGGGTGCTATAATATCCCACTTTCTGCCTTGGGTGGTGGGCTCCAGTGGTCGCTCATAGAATCAAATTTCTGGCTGGATAATAATTTTGGGCTCGGACCCCAAGATTATCCAACTCCGATTGCCGGCTAGCCCCCATTGGAGAATGATCCCCGTCAAACAGTGGATCTGCGCGCATGCAGCTGGAGGGCAGGCAAGCAAAGCAGCAGGCAGCCTGGATTACGGCATCCAGCCATGCTTGCTTCCATGACATTCATTATCAACACCAGCTAGCTCACGACGATATCATCTACCTCTGCGAAAACTGCCATATACCGAACACACGCTCAATACCACAAGCCCACCGAAAACCACCCTCGCAATTTGTCCGAAAGAGTTCATCACTGTCGCTCATTAGGCGGCGGATTGTATCATGGTGAGCTCAAAGCCAGCATCCATTCCTGCTATAGGTTGCCCTCGTCCATGCTAACCAACGCTGAACTACGTAGCCTTCCGCAACTGGCCAGGACTGGGAGAAGTACCAGAAGAAATTTGCCGACGATGAGGTAGAAGAGAAGAAGATCACACCTCTGACCGATGAGTATGCACCGACCGTCCGACAGCTCTCCAGGGCAAGCACTCACATGTCGAAACAGAGATATCCAAGTCCTCAAGACGTACGGAGCTGCCCCATACGGCGCCGCTCTCAAGAAGCTAGAGAAGCAGATCAAGGATAAGCAGCAAAGCGTCGACGAGAAGATTGGAGTCAAGGTACTACTACCCCTCCACCCCATCACGACCTCACCCAAGCTTCGGACTAACCAACGCCGTCCAAACAGGAATCAGATACTGGTCTTGCACCACCCCATTTGTGGGATGTCGCCGCCGACAGACAGCGCATGTCTGAAGAGCAGCCGTTCCAAGTAGCACGATGCACGAAGATTATTGCCGACGAGAAGGGCGACGAGTCCAAGAGCAAATATGTCATCAACGTCAAGCAGATCGCCAAGTTTGTCGTCCAGCTCGGTGATCGAGTGAGTCCGACTGATATCGAAGAAGGCATGCGAGTTGGTGTCGACCGCAACAAGTACCAGATTATGCTTCCGCTGCCACCAAAGATCGATGCCAGCGTCACAATGATGACGGTAGAAGAGAAACCTGATGTAACGTACGGCGATGTTGGTGGTTGTAAAGAGCAGGTTGAGAAGCTACGAGAAGTCGTCGAGATGCCCCTGCTCTCGCCAGAGAGGTTCGTCAACCTTGGTATCGACCCGCCCAAGGGTGCGCTGCTCTACGGCCCCCCAGGAACCGGAAAGACCCTGTGTGCCCGAGCTGTGGCCAACCGAACAGATGCCACCTTCATCAGAGTCATTGGTAGTGAACTGGTACAGAAATACGTCGGTGAGGGAGCGAGAATGGTGCGAGAGCTTTTCGAGATGGCCAGGACAAAGAAGGCCTGCATCATCTTCTTCGACGAAATCGACGCTGTTGGTGGTGCACGTTTCGACGACGGTGCTGGTGGAGACAACGAAGTACAGCGAACTATGCTGGAGCTCATCACCCAGCTTGATGGTTTCGACGCTAGAGGAAACATCAAGGTCATGTTCGCCACCAACAGACCTTCAACCCTCGACCCAGCCCTTATGAGACCTGGTCGTATCGACCGAAAGATCGAGTTCTCGTTGCCCGACCTCGACGGCCGTGCCAACATTCTCCGCATCCACGCCAAGAGTATGTCCGTCGAGCGGGACATTCGTTGGGAACTCATTTCT